GCAATTTGGTATTATATGGTTTTTGCAATATGATATTGCAATATTATAGTTATTATATTTTCACTTGTAGAAGTCTATTTTGTTCATTGGGAATTTTAATTTTTTTGCTGCTGTGTCTGCTTTTCCTTATGATGTTGTCACTGAGGAGTTAGCAGAGGTTCATGATTCGAGTCGAATTTATATATTATATGTATTATATAATTATTAAAATTATTATATTGAAGGTATGGTAATGATTCTTCATGTTGAAATCACACGTGAAATTTTTCAGATTTCGAAGAAGTTGGAGGATATTCGTACGAGATATGCGTTCTAAAGGAGACTAGTGGCGCCATGCAGGATCTAGGGGTCGTTTGGGTGGTTGCTCTGAGTTATGGGTTATGGCTAGGGTCTACCATAGGCATATCTTCGGGGACAGGGTATGGTAGGTTGAGTTCAATCTTGGAGTGTTAAACGGCTGAAATTTTTGGTCTTAATAGATAGACCATCGTATTCAATGTGTTAGTAATGGACTGCTACTGCACTCGATCGTTCGGGTTTTTGGTAATAGTACTGGACAAAATCAATAGTTTGTTTACAGTAGCAAAATTAATCGAGTGCTTGCCGGGCCTGCTTAAATCATAGCGCGAACCCTGCTAACCCGACTCTGAAAAGATATTTCGACCTTAGACATCACTACATTTCCTTTTGAGGATTTGTCATTCCTTCCGTAACTGAAATTCCTGTTGAGGTCTCTCTTATTCCTCTCATACATCCCCAGTAGCTCACCCAAACTTCCCACAGCCAGCTGGTGTTTACTGTTTATTGTTGTCGGATATGGTCTCTGATGGCGAATAGCAGTGTATTCGTTGTCGTTCATTGTTGTAATGTATTCCTATGTTGTTATGAGCTGCGAGGCGTGAGTTGTCACGATGTTGTAGCTCTTTTGCGGTCTATCCAGTGTTTCTTTTGTTGTTGGCGGTCATTTTATCGCATTGTAAAGGTTAAATTGTGTGAAGCCGTGTTTACAGGTTTTTCTTAAGTGGTTTTGTTTCCAAGTAATAAATAGTGTAGCTAAACGTGTACTGTGGAAGTAAAGTGATTTCTAGAAAATATCATTACGATAGAATATCTGTATTTGAACAATGATTCACCGCTCCTAAGGTTTGTGGATGACTGGTTCGTGCTTCCAAGTCTTATAAGTGAAGGTGAAATATGGATGGAATTGTTTGCTCCTTCTCTCGGTTCTACCAGGCGTCGGTAGATCGAAATCGTAGGCGCCTGGTGCCCTTCCAAGAGGCAATTGAGGCATTTCGAGATGCTGTCGTCGCGACCTCTACAGTTGCGGACCCAGTACCTTCACCCAGAGAGGAGTTATTGTGAGCAGGGTCAAGCGTGCGTTGAGGAATCCTCGACATGTCACAGGGGGGGTCGTATTGGCCCGCTGGGGGGAAGAGATCGGGCCGATTGATGCAGTAGGATCATCACCGTCGGAGGACAAACATCAAGGATCGAGTCGATGCCAGGCCAGAGGATTTCCAATAACAATTGATTCCACCCACACAAAATCTTCGTGATTCTGAGGTGTCCGCTTAGCAATTCTTAGTTACTTCAGTGTTTTATCACCACACAAGTTAAAGAATCCGAAATTCGCACGTTTTCCAAGGGATATTTTATCTTTCAAGTGAGTCCTCGAATCTGAAGGGATGTGAAGCACACGGCGCATCCCAGAGTGGGCCCAGTTGGTTGCGCGCGCTTCAACTACGGCTCTCTGGAGAAAGAATCTCAATTCAGGAAAAATCAAGAGGATTCTGAAAGGGTTCATGTGAAATTACAGGGAGGAGTACACTATTCAACAAGAAACGCAGCCTTCAGCGTCAAATTCACAAGCATGTAACCTTTAAAGTTGAGATACGCTAAACAATTTTACACTTTTTGGAAAGAGAAAAGCACGAGGATTCCGAATCTGCTCCTACTTTAGTATATAATCGCCCCTGAAAGGAGCTATAGTCGTTGAAATAGTGCCAATGCAGCGAAAAAGTACCTTTCGGCGGTACTCGGGCAAAAATCCTCAACGTGGCCATTTTTTAATAGTGGACGTTTAGCAGTTCTAGTAACCTTGAATAGAGCAAATCTTCTAGTTTATGATGACGTATTAACTTTTCAGATTGGATGAGTTTGAACGGAGTTATGGCTTTGGAAAGCGTAAAAACTCGCACTCATCACGAATTTTCCTCGTTAATTTTGCAAAAATCCTCAACGTGGCCATTTTTTTTGAATACGGAAACGTAATAAAGCTGACACCGCGCTATTTTCGCTGTTGTCTGGCGTGTGGGACCGCGCGCATTATTTTGACCGCGCGAGTGTGACTTGGCACCATGTCAAACGGTCCCACAAGAACTCCTTTTACTCAGGAAGTGTGTATTTGTTATCTTTCTTGTGTGGTAGGTCTCCGATTATGCGATTTTGGCCATTTTAGCGATTCCTGTGATTTGACCATTATTCAAACATTTTAGAAAAACTCGATAGCCCATCAACCGAAGCTTCTTTCTAGGGACCACACCTTTTGTAACAATGCCTAAGTATGGCGCATACATCACGTAAATAAGTTACCTAAAATGTTTGAAAACCAGCTTAAAAAAGACTGTGACATGACATCATGTCACACGGTCCCACGTGGCCGAAAGAGTGTGGTATGACATCATACCACACGGTCGTCAACGTGTTAAAGCTGCTCTAGTAAGCGTTTGACTAAGAAAATCTTTTGGTTTTGTCTGCTACATTCGCTTTTCAGAATGACAAAATGAAGCAAGTTGTTGGCTTCGGAAAAGTGTAAAAACTCGTGCTCATCTCGAATTTTCCTCGTTAATTGATCTAAATTTGTTATTTCTTATAAATTTTTGTAATTTCAATACTGATTAGAAAAAGCTCTTCACAAAACTTCCCAAATCTGCTTTCAGATTGAAAATTCGTCATATTTGAAGAAAGTTACAGTCACTTGAATATTTCTTTCTGTTACATTCACTTGAATATTTCTTCAATCTTGAAAAAGTAAGATAAGCTGCTCCACGGTCAACGCCAAAGATCAGTCAACACACAGCTGGCTAAGGCTTTACAAAGCTTCTTTCAAACGAAAGGTGGAAATGCAGACTGAGAGCATACTCTGTGTGGTACTAAAATTTGGTAAGCCTTCCAAAGGAAATAAATAAAAAAGGGATGATACCAATTTTTAGTGACTAGTTTGTGGTTTTTGCTCCTTTTCTCGTTTGCTCGTTTGGTAGGACTCATCAATAATGATTATTCTTTGACTTTTTCACTTTTGTACTTCTTAAACGAATTTTCGGTGGGACGGTGGGGTAGCAGGGCTTTTTTATGAACAGTTTTGGGGGAGAATTAAACAACCTTTTCATAGTTCGGCTTTTGAAGAGGGTCGTTTAATGGACTTCGGCCTTTGTGAAGGAGGGGGTCGTCCTTCCAATTTTTCCTCGACGTTTCCCTTGACCCTGTCTGTGGGGCTGAGACCGACCTTTACCTTTACGTGTTGCGCCACCCCTCTATGTGGAATTACAGTGGCATTTTCTGGTTAATGGTCCACAGTAAGCGGCAGGGGGGGCACAAAATTGTGCCCAGTAGACGTTACGTGAGCGCCGTGCAATTCAGGATCTCAGGATCGACGAACACAAGCAATTTCGTGTAATTAGTCTCTGGCATGTCCTGCTAATATTGGTCTAGATAATTGCTGAACAGAACACTTCAAAACAGAGCATTCCAAAAGGCCGCACGGGGCGCTGCATGAGTCTCACAACATTGGCAAATGAGAACATCTCATTATTGTTGAATTTCTTTTACAATATTTCATTTTTCTATTGAACAATATATTGTGCAACTTTCCTAAGCGGTGTAAGGCATGAGAGGCGATGAGAGGCTAAGCGAGGAAAAGGAGTATGAGCGAGACAGCGCAACAGATGAGAGGCAGCAGACAGCAGTCTGGTAAAAGAGGTGAAATTGCAGCTGAAGCAGCTTACTTTGCAAGGCCCTAGCGCTCCTGTCGTGATTTCCATGCCACGGGAATGCCACATCTGCGACAGTCCTCTGAGGGTCTATCCTACAGACCGAAGGGAATTGTCCACATGACTTTTGCCTGGGTTGTGAATTTAAGCTCAGGGCGAAACCTTATCATGGCGATCACTGGATACGTCTAGTAATGCGTAACAACCACCCTATATTCGACGAACATTGCTACCGAACTTCCATCCATGACGAGCGACTTCTGGTGAATTTTTTAGCACGGTAATCGAACCTCATGTCCGTCCTCCTGAAGAACAGCCCATCTCAACCCGAAATTGAGTTGGTGCATTTGTCGAATATGGGGGTCTCTCCTGCATTTTCATAGCCTAAGGCGCGCTAATTGCAAAGCTTCTGAGCTCCACTTCTGAAGTTACTTCGCTGCCATCAAGGTTGTTCGATTTTGCCGCACTGTAGTGATTAATGTGTGGTTTCCGCTTCGCAAGTGCGTTCTAATGCGAACAGCCGTATCTCCTAATCTGGTGGTTTCTTTCTCTTTGGATCCTCCACAGACGGCAACTATTCAAACCTTGAACTTGTCCAAAGTCGATTAGCAGAATGATAGTCCCAGCTTTCGGGTTCTGACTGTTTTTCGGTCTCTTTTTCGCTGTCGTACCACTTCTCACATTTGTTTCATATTTGGTTCCCATCAAATGATCGTATTTTCCGCCTTCAAGCTTAGCCCGAAGAAGCTCAAGAAAACACTGAGCTATGAAAGCCGGACAGAAGGCTTAACTGCTTGCTGTTGCTGTGCTTCCAATTATCACCTGTTTTGCGATATGGCAACAACGCTTCCAGCTACCGGCTCGAAAATTTGTGCCGTAGCCTAACAACTTTTTGTCAGTCATACACATACCACCTTTCTCTCCGCGCGAACAGTAAAAATTCCTAAACGAGGATGCTAGAACAATACAACCGTCAGCATAACAAATGGTAGGTAATCACTACAAGCGTACAATGCAAACGCGATGAGTTATACGAAAAAGACTAACACAGGTCCAGACCCAGGGTCAACCGTTCACGTTGGACCGACATTGGACCGACGTTGGACCGACGTTGACCGCTCTCCGCGCCGGCATTCGCACTCGCCTTGCGCGAGCCGTCTGTGTCTCCGTGCGTACGTTCACTCTCGGCATTACTCTCACACGCTAGAGAGCCATGCGTTGGACTTTGTCCAACGGACGGTTGACCCTGGTAGAAATGCACCGCCGGGAAGGAGTAAATTCACACCTAGTTGAGGGACCCGCGGACCTGCTGAGGGTGCGGACTGAA